AAGTGCAAAGGAGATGATCAACCGTTTCAATCGAACTCTCATAAGTCGAACAAGAAGAAACTTCAGCCGCCCCATGAAGGTGAAGCTGAGAGTTCACTGCAAAACGATTATGAAGGTTTTGCTACAAAATAAATAAATAAAAATAAAAAAAATAAAATTTCCCTGTGAGCATGGATTTTCTAGATACTTTTCTACAGATTCTATAATACCCCTAATTTTAAAAGGATAGTCCTGATATTTTAATTAATTATTTAATTACATTTTATGGGTTTAATTGTTTAATTGTTTGAATTAATTGTTATTATTTGAATTAATTGATTTAATGATGTTTATTTGAATTAATTAATTATTTAATTGTATTTTGATTTTGCTGTAATTACATTCATTGTATTGTTATTATTTGCTTTCATTGACGTAATTGTTTTAATAAGTTAAGTGCGTTAATTGTAATTTAAGGTTTTATTTTATTTATGAAATCGTGGGATTTAGTTTAGCCGACTTATAGCTAGAGGGAAATTAGAATTAGGTTTTCATTGAGGCCTATAAATATAACAGTTTAGGGTCTGCAAGGGTTTTTAGAACTCTGTTTACGAACAGTGGAGGCTGAGAGAAATAATAGGGTGGTTTGAGAGAGAACAAAGAGAGACAAGTTAGGGTTTTGGTTAGGGTCAAGGACGGAACCAAGAAGGAGTATTTGACACATGCTCGTGGGTTGAACTAAGAGTAACAGAGGTCTGTAGAAGCAATTAAGGTCGCCGGAATTACCAGAGACGACGGGTTAAGGTTTTGAACGGAAACTTAAAAGCAAGTTCCTATTCTAACTCTTTTTCTTAAACATGTGTTCTGTGCATGCCTAGGTAGTCTCCAGGAGTTAATTATATATTAAAATTGATTTAATATGCGTGTTTGAATTGAATCAAAACAATATGCATGCTTGTATTGAAAAAACAAAAAAAACAAAATTGTTTTTGGTGTTAGTTTATGTTCTCGATTTAAATCTTGATTTCCTTGCATATAAGCGTGGTTTGATTCATGTAATTGATGCATAAATAATTCTTATAATTTGTTGGGATTGTTTGGAACCTAGAACAGAGGGTTAGAAACCTCAATAAGGGTAATCGGAGGGTCAGACAACAGTTGGAGACGAAGAAGATGGAAGCTGGGAAGAGTGGAGGCGGTTACACCCTTCAATAGAGGCGGCTCCATTGGAGTGGAGCTGGCTCCACACTTTATTGGAGGTGGCTCCATGTGGGTGGAGGCGGCTCCACACTTTATTGGAGCCGGCTCCAATGCTGATTTTTAATTTTTATTATTTTCAGCGGGTTATTTTGCTATTGTAAGTTAGTTTTGAAATTTTAGATACAGTTGGGAGCTGTTGTGGGGTTTTAAGTGATGTCTAAATCTCTAATAAAACTCCAGAGGGCAATTTAATGCCTAATTAATCACATTGAACTAAGGGCTTGAACAATATGAACTTTGAATTAAATTTGCATATTGTGGTTAGATGTGGACGATTCAAGTTGTTATTTGTATATTAGCAACTGGTCTAGGTATGATATAGTTTTATCATGTAAATGGGATGTTAAATAAGCATGTTAATTTATTTAATTCTACTGTGTTTATTATGGATTGATTGCTGTTTACTTATATTATCAGTATTGTCAATCATTGGGTTTTGCAGAAAAAGATCAGAGAAGAATGCTAGTTTATATTGTTTTCTATCATGCTTAGTATGGAACAATTGATGTTTACATTCATTAATTGTATTATCATCTGTCGGATTTATGGATTGTATGCACCGGTATGGGACGGTGGCATACTGGGGGGTGGATTAGTTCAAAACACTAAGTCTTACCTACTCTGAAATAAGTTGGATTAACTATAAAAGTTAAGTCCTACTTATATATATGTATATGCACCGGTATGGGACGGTGGCATATTAGGGATGGCTTAATTTAAAACACTAAGACCTACCTATTCTGGGGATGGATTAGTTCAAAACACTAAGTCCTACTTATTCTGAAATAAGATGGACTAACTACAAAAGTTAAGTCCGACTTATAACTGTATGTCATGTCAATAAACCTTTTGAATGACATACCTTTGACGGATTTTATATATATATCATTTTGGTACCGTGGTATAAGCTTGAGTCTCAGGATCACGGTTAGGGTGCGTATATCGCCTAGGATGGATAACTGGACATAGGTGTTGTTCCCTGGTAGGTCTAGGTACATATGACCACGTTATGTGCAATTTGCATGGTATCTCTACTCAGGCTGAGACAGACCTATTGGACTAGTGAGCGTCCTATAGTGTGTATTTATACATATATAGACTATTCTAGTTATTGTTGAGCTATCTAGGATGTAATTGCGTATTTGGTTTCTGTGTGGATCGTAGTAGGATAGGACTTGCACGTGGGCGTGACCCACTCTCTTATTTTTCAGGTGTTCGTCAATTCCAAGGTTAGAGTTTGATCGTGCAGAACAGATATAGTGACTCACTCCTCCGACTACGTAGGACTACTTTCTCTATTTAGCATTGGATTTTATTACAGTTATTTCCTTTTCAGTTTGCGATTTTATTAGGGGTCCACTAGGTGGATTCCCGAGTTGTTAATTAATGGAGAGTTTGGATTTTATTAAATTAGAACTTTGAGGTTTTTATAATTAGAATTCTTTTCAGCTTATTATTTTATTTTTAATTCATTTTGTATTCTGTGCTTATTTACATATTAATTGTTTGGTATCCCTCGATCTGTGCTCGGACTTGATCACCCGTGGCTCTAGAATCGAGGGGTATCATAGATTCCCTCGACTAGCATCAAAACTATAACCTTCTATTGGGGCTGAACAAGACTGTGATTGAATGAGAGAAAGAACTACCTTATAAGCACTCAAAACAGAAAAAAATGCCATCGAGGGAGGCACCCGAGACCTTGAGATCAGCTCCTCCAGTGACACTAAAGGGAATTTGAGCAATGAGATTTAAATCACGAGGATTGAACAAACGATGAACCAAGGCAACATTCCATTTATGACAAGATTGGTCAATAAGCTCGGCAATAAAAGATATCTCAAACCCCACTTGAGGAGATGTTATGGAATGGTGAGAGATGTCAGGCAACCAATTATCATTCCAACAATTAACGTTGGAGCCATTGCCAATGCACCATGTCAAGCCTTTTTTAATTACATCTCGGGTGGAAAGGATACTTTTCCAAACCCCAGAGGCATTTGATCTAGAAGGAGAATCAACAAAGTTGCAATTCTTAAAATACTTCTGCTTAAAAGATTTATACAATAAGGACTAATCTCCTATCTCCATACATCAAGCTAATTTAGTGAGAAACGCCCCAGTTGAAAGCTTTCACATTTTAGAAACCAATGCAGCCCAAATCTTATGGTGAAGTACGTACCATTCTACGGAAGAAATATTCACGGATGAATTTATTACTATTTTTAATAGTGATCTAGAAGATTATTGGCAATGATTGATTTTTAAACACATCTTTGATATGGGCTTTGGGTTTTGGCCTATGAAGCATAGATACGCGAGGTAGGGGTGACATATCAGTGTTGGACACGTGTTCGACACGGACACGCGTATCCCAGCCTCGGACACGTGTCCGACACCCTTCTACCAGTGTCATATTTTTTTATTCATATTTTCAAGTCAGACACGCTATAAGATACGGCCGAGACACGCCAAAGGACACGGCTGGTAACATCGCAGTTCAAATTGTTGTTCGAAAGAAAGAGATGATAAAGAGATATGTGTGTGTTTTTTGTGTGGACTGATCGAAGACAACAAACCAAAAGCTATTAAAAAAAAAAAAAATGGAGTGGATGAGAGAAAAACTGGAAGAGAGAGGGGAAATCAACAAAGAGATGATGAAGAACCTGATGATCATGCTCTGATTGGTGTGGATCAATCGAAGAAAGAATGAAAGAAGAAATCTCTTTAATTGTTTGAGTGAAAATTTGTTCATCTATTTTTAGAGAATATGCAGAGGAGAAGAAAGATGTAAGATGGAAGTTCAGAGGAGTAATGCGTCTAGCTAGAGGAGAGAGAATATCAGTTAAACGTGGGAACCGAGGAGATAAAATTACACTCTTTTAGTGTGTTTGGTTACAACAATAAAACTATATACATATTCTAGTATTGAATATAAAGATATACTACATATTTATTGTTTGAATTTTAATAGAATTTGGATTGGACATATTTTAAATGGATCATGTCTATTAATGTAAATTAAAAATTAAGAGAAATTAAAATTTTATATATAATAAAAATATATATTATTATTTTATTACCGTATCCTTACCGTGTCCGTATTATATTTTTTTAAAATTTATCGTATCACTGTGTCCGTGTCATATCGTATCTATATTCAGTATCGATGCCCGTGCTTTATAGGTTTCGCCTATGTGATAAGCCGGCAAGTTAAAAATATATATCTAGGATTGTGACATGGGCTTTGACATAGAAAACAGCCTAGTGGCAACCGGAAAGTATTAGCGGCAAGTAACAAAAAACAAGAATATAAAGAAAAAGATTAAGAGAGAAAAAACAAAAAAACAAAAATATACAATTACTTGATCATATTTCATTCAGATTGTGACTAGTTACTTGTTTGGGATGTTAAGCATATTTTAGATTGTGACTACCACTGTACAAGCCAATCAATGTACGTATGTGTTATTCTAGAAGAACACCTAGAAATACTTTTTTTATGGTTCGGTGTTTTATAGACCACTACTTTTTTTATGGTGCGGTGTCCTAATGATCACCTGCCGAATGAACAATGAATTGGCATTGTCAGTAAGGTAGATTAGATATGAATATACTTATTAATTTAGCATTTTAAATTTTAAACAATAGATCGTAACATGCATGGTTGAAAAGTCAAGCCCAATGTTGTTTAATATTTATCATCCCCGTGTTGAATTCAGAGTTTGTGTCCTACCGTCTGATTCTGATTTGTTTAGTAAAAACGCCAAGACACTTAAAAACTTTTCACTACCAAGAGTTTGGTTCAAGTTTTTCCTCCTCTCAACACTATATAAAAGGGATACTCCTAAGACATTGTTACATTCACTCACGACCATTACACCACACCTTCATTCATTGTAGAAATATATATACACACGCACAGCTTCTATAGCTTCTATATCTCTTTCTTTCTCTATAGCTGAGCTTTACAATCTGCACTGTAAACACAATCCATTGTCACTGCTATGGAAGCTATCTCCTCCAATGGACACTATGATTGGGCCAAAGAGGTGAAGGATTTCGACGAAACCAAAGCTGGAGTGAAAGGACTTGTGGATGCAGGCGTGACAAAGATCCCCAAATTCTTTGTCCACCCAAAGGAGAGTTTGGAGAGCCTGCCACCGGCTAAAAACCCTAGCAACGATGCACTTGTGTTCCCCACCATCGACCTTCAAGGCATGGACAGCTATAGTGATCGAAGAAGGGAGATAGTGGATGGCATTCGTACGGCGGCCTCAGAATGGGGCTTCTTCCGCCTGGTGAATCATGGCGTCCCCATGACCACACTGGATGCCATGTTGGATGCCGTTCGCAGGTTCCATGAGCAGCCAAGAGAGGACAAGATGGAGCTGTATTCCGCGGATAGTAGGCGTAGGGTGAGGTTCAACAGCAATGTTGCTCAACGTGAACTTGATGCTGCATGTTGGAGGGATTTGTTAACTTGTGTCTTCCATGATGATACACTCGACCCTGAAGCCATTCCCCTTGTTTGCAGGTACTTTTATATAATCTTCTTTTTCTTAACTTGCAATTCGATTGTACCACATCCTCAGCTGTAATCCCCTGCTGCTGCTGCACTGATATCTAAAATTTTTAGTACTCTGTTTTTCAACCCATTAAATACGTAGACAGGTAGACGTCAATGTGTTAAAAACAAATATAACGATGTTAAAAAATCAACTAAACTTAGTTTTGAAAAATATAAGGAAAAAGGTGATGCATAAGTATCACTTTCACAGATAGCCAACCAGTTCAATGCTGGACCCAGAATATGTCATAATCCAATAGGGAAGCTAGCAATTTCAATTGATGATTGTATGATGTTTCTTGTTAGTTGGGCTTGACATAAGAAGCCAATATTCTCAAACAACCAACCTAATATCTTCCCAGTACATCTGGTCAAACTTGATGCATGACACGTAACTTCCTATGTCTAATGTATATCTTTTATACATATACTCCTATAATTAATTTAATTAATTTTGTATGTAATTACAATATTTTGCAGAAAAGAAGTGCAAGAGTATGTGAAATGCATGATACAACTGAGGGAGACTATGTGTGAGTTACTATCAGAGGCATTAGGGCTAAACAGTGACCACCTCTCCCGCTTAGAATGCATGAAGAGTGAAGCATTGGCTTGCCTTTACTACCCAATATGCCCTCAGCCAGAGTTGACCTTGGGCACAGTCAAGCATTCTGATACCACCTTTTTAACTCTACTCCTCCAAGACACTACAGGTGGTCTCCAAATTGTTCATCAAAATCAATGGTTTGATGTCCCTCCTGTTCCCGGTGCTCTAATAGCAAACATAGGAGATCTTATGCAGGTACACATATATATAGTTTTCAATATATATATATATATATATATTCAGTACTTGTTGAGTTGTTCATATATACAGTAATTAATATATATACCTTACAAAATTTATTTATTTGTTCAGATTATTAGCAATGACAAGTTCAAAAGTGTGGAGCACAGAGTTTTGGCTCAACCGATCGGACCGAGAGTATCAGTTGCATGTTTCTTCACTCCAAGCGGTAGGGCTGGATCTAAGACTTTTGGACCAATAAAGGAGCTTGTAACTGAGGAGAGTCCAGCTATATATAGAGAATTCCTCTGCGGTGAATATTATCAATATTACAAGATGAAAGGAACAAATGTTACCTCTGCTCTTCCTCACTATAAGCTATGATCCATCAAACCACAAACCCTACCCTAGCCTACAACTTATAATGTTGGTGCTGCTTAATTTAATAAATCTGTATGCAATTTAATTCTATGTTTGTCGCAATTAATTTTGTTCATTTAGTTATGTACTAGCTTTTATCAATGTTACATGTGCAATGAAACAGTTTCAGAACTTCTACCATGAGTACTACTTTTTGGTTTCATAGCAATTGTGGGATGAATCAGACCTTGTTGACTCACAAACAAGATCTGTTCAATTGTTAATGCAAGGAAAAACACCCACCCAATAGGACATCATTTTCTAGCCCAACGCATAATTACCAGTTATATTTTGACCCCAAATTAAAAAATCCCACTTTTGTGTTGCGTGGAACATTTAAAATCACTTTCATGCGTACCTATTAGATCTTAATTAGAAAAAAACTCCTAATGACAATTTATTTATTCTTAATACCAATGAAAAGAATCGGCAATATTTTATTGAAATTTTAAAATAGATATTGATAGTTACATTCTGAATTTTCTACCATTAAGCTTTACACAAACATTTATATACGTTCCTGTTGACAGTAACTAACTATTATTACATCCTGAAAACTTAAGATTACACCCAAACACACACACATACATATATATATATATATATATATATATATATATATATATATATATATATATAATTGCGTGTAATGATTTGATTAAGATTTCATTTTGCAATTAGTGGAGCAGGGAAGAAAATGTTCATAAGCTTTATTAGATACAACTAATCATATACATACTTCTTGACAGAAACCCTCCATTAACTGGGACCAACACTGGACTTGTAAAAATAATTGGGCAAAACACCAAGCAACGACGACAACCAAAAATCAAGGAAAAGGAAACAGCCTTTGTGACTCAGAGAAAAATAATAATGGAAACTACAGAAATAAAAACAAAAAAAATAAATAAAATCCAGGAAAAAGAAGCCTAAATAACAGTTGATGATACAGAGTAAACAGAAAAAAAAGTGTATATGTGAAATTGTGACAATATATAATAGTGGAACTAATTAATGTATTTTACTATGATACTTTTCCATTGTATAAATATTATATATCATAATAGATGTAATAATTAAGGCGAGACATGTGAGGCCTACAACATAAATGTGACAATAGTGTAAACAGTGAAAGTGTAGGAAGCGTGATAATGAATAGTTCGAAACAGTGTGGGCATGGCTGCAAGAAAAATGTGCAGCACCAATAAAGAAGAAAGAGGAATAACTCGAATTGTGCAGAATCAATAAAGAAATAGTGTAACCAACACGCCAGTGGTCTAGCGGTGCCGGGCTCCTACTTTCCAAAGGGAGGTCAGGGGTTCGAGCCAAAAACGGTGAGAAGCCGGGATCAAATCTGCAAATTCCGGTCGGACCAACTATAAATATAGATGTCATCCAAAGGAAAACTCATTCAAAGACATTGAGATGATGAATTGAGTGGAACATTATAACTCTTTTGAGTTTGAAACTTTTGCTCCGGTCATTCTCTCACTGTGAGATTTTATCTTTCAGCTTCTGCTTCATCAATAACCAGGACAAAATTTACTCAGGTGAGTAGAAGACCTACAACATTTATTCAAAGAATAAAAGCATAAAATAAACTATATTATATATTGTCACATATACACATCTTTGTAAATAAGTTTAAGAACTTCAACATCTGGGTGGCACTCACTATATTGTCACATATACACATCTGAAGATTGTTTGTTTCAATGTCTTTTACTAATATAACTAAAGAAACAAGTCAGTTTCACCATTTTAGCTGAATTCACGCATTTCTATAATGTTTAAAGGTTGAAATCTCATAGAAGAAGAGAAGAAATCAAAATATTGACTTTTTAAAGTTTGTCACAACTATTAAATATCCAAAAGTCCACAAGGCTCCAACTGGTAAAACTACTAACATTATAACAAGCTTGAATCATTCATGTAGGTGTTAATGTTTTTGTGTCTTAGGAAATAGAATCCACACTCAAATGCAACATTAAATTGGTTATAATTACCAGTTCACCATGTGGCCTATTGGCTTGTGGCTTGAACCCTAAACCACAAGGCCAAGGTTCGAGGCTGGTAGAACATATGCCAAAGTCATTATGTATGTATAATTATCAGCTGTATGATTATATGTATATTGTATATAACCATATATGTGTGTATGTGTGACTCTTAAGGGACTCACTCAGAAAAAGTCAGATAATGGTGTAACAGACTTCTTCTATTTTAGGAACTGGTGATGTAGAAGTGGCAGTAGGGGTGAGGATTACTAAAGTTGGGAGAAGGGGCCAAAGTGGGGGATCTCATTATCTTGGCCTTTTTGCCCTGATAATCAGGAGTAGTCAGCCCATTGTTTCTTGCACTCAACATAAACATCTTGTACTCTTCTGGAACCCATATAAAGTGCTTTAACTGAGGCGCATTTCTGTCTTCAACACCACCAGATGGAAGTCATGCCTAACACTGCAGAAGTTGCCGCCACTAACCAGCCAGAATATGATAGAGCAAAAGAAGTGAAGGAGTTCGATGAAACAAAAGCTGGAGTTAAAGGACTCATGGATTCTGGTGTAGTCAAGATCCCCAGAATGTTCATCCATCCACCGGAAAACCTTGGAAAGGCATCACTGGATACGAGTGGCATTCACCTTCAAGTTCCTTTGATAGATCTCAAAGACTTACATAGTGGCCGGATGGAGATTGTCAATGAAATTGGTAAAGCAGCAGAAACATGGGGCTTCTTTCAAATGGTCAATCATGGAATCCCACTTGTCATGAAAGAGATGATAGAAGGTGTGCGCCGATTCCATGAGCAACCTAATGAGCTGAAAACGAAGTGGTACTCAAGTGACTCTAAGCAAAGAGTAAGGTATTACTGTAACGGTGATCTTCACATATCAAAAGCAGCAAATTGGAGGGACTCTATAGCTTGTAAGTTCGATGACTGTGTGCTGGAATCTGATGCATTACCTCTAGTTTGTATGTAATATTTCCATTTTTTTCCATTTTCCATTTTTTGAGATTTTTCCATCCTTGTCTCATTTTGCGTGCTAGACACTATGGAGTGTGTCGGGAGAGTTCCTAGAGTTAATTGGAGCATTTCCTTTAGTTCAGAACTCTTAGAAATGCATCGTTTTTCATTTCGACATTTTTCAGTTTTTAAAAAAGACGGGACCCGCTACTACGGTTGTTGAGCACGGGTGCTGTATTTCGGGTCCATTGCATTAAGGTGCATTTTTATTTTATGCGTATTTATGTTGGTTCATCCTTATTTGTGGTTGTAATTTAATTAGTGTAAGTATATATATATTATTGAGGTAAAAGTTGATTTTTATTATGACCATGGGCCCACCAGCATACTAAGTCATTACAAATGACTCATTGGACATCACACAACCTCGCATTCTCTCTCTCACGCTGAAGCTCTCTCTGCTCTCCTCATTTCCTTTTCTTTTTTCTTTTTTTGAGCCTAAAAAAAATTCTCTCCCATTTTTCGGCCAATCGGTAGGGTTTCCGGTCTTAGTTCCTTAACGTCGTTCTCTATCACATAGTCAAAGGATTTAATTTTTTGAGGAGCGGTGATTATTTTACGAATTTTTGAAGTTTTTGGATTTAAGGCTTCGGAGGGGGTTTCGGGCCACTTAAAGTCAGATTCCGGAGCTGGGCTTTTGCAACAGTAGAATCTCCTCATCGACGGCTACGTTCGCACCGAACAGTTTTCCGTTCCGCCGCTGTTGACTGGCATTGACTTTTGTTGACCGGCATTGCCCGCGTTGACCGGCGTTGACTTTTCTGGCCGGGGATGCATTTTGGCTACTTTTGAGGTAGGGATGTCTAAACCGTCACATTTTGATTTTAGTTGAGTTCGTTTATTTGATTTCTTGCTAACAATGCTTAAAATGATAAATGTCGGGATTTAATGTTGATAATGTATTTACTTATTTATGTGACGAAGCATGACCTAAATGATATTAATTTCGTATATTTGCAAAGTTGTTTAATGAACATGCCTTGCGTTGAATTTATTTATTGAGATTACATATATATGATGATGAGTGTGTATAGCTAAACTGATAAAGTGCAAGCATGTTTGCATCGCTTTCATTCATGCATGATTCCATTCATGGCATGGGCATGGGCATGGTTTGGGAAAAGTGAGGTTGGAATGTTTCTTTTTAAAGAAATGTGTTTGGAAAGGATTGCAAGGAAATGATTTAGAAACGAACCGGGTATCGTGAACCCGGGGCTAACTTGACCTAGAGTGGGCGCGGCTCGATGTAGGGCATGAAAAAGTTGACATTGAGAGTGTCAATCCTGGCTCAGTAAAGTCAGTTAGCAGCTAACATGACCTAGAGTGGGTGCGGCCCGGTGTAGGGCGTGAAAAAGTTAACACTAAGAGTGTCAATCCAAGCTCGGTAAAGTCAGTTAGCATAGGTGGAGATTTGGGGTTGGTGTGAGACTAAACTCGGGACGATTACGCAATGCATTGCATTTCATGGCATTTTGGCATCTATGATTATGACTGATTATGTGATAATAATAATTTTTTTTTTTTTTTTTTTAAATTGAATGACGTGGATTGTGATTTTGATAATTCCCCATGTATGATCCCGACATCTTTTTTTTCCCTTTCTTTGGTTGTTGGCTCAAGGGAATCCAAAACCGGTGTTTTAAACATTACCTACTGAGCTGCTGAGCTCACCCTTTATCTTAACATTTTCAGGAAACCGGAGGAGTATGGACGTATGACTTGTATCCACGGACTTAGGCGCTGTTGCCATTCTACCTGTATTTGTGAGTTTTCTGTAATGTCAGTGATATGATGTACTATGAGTCATGGGATGACGTTTATATTTTATGTATTGACATAGGAAAGAATGGTAATGCCTTAGATGACCTCGGGTTCGGATAAGGACCCGGTTAGCGATTCAGACCCCTGGATTTGGGTCGTTACGTTGCAGGTAACGCTTAAACACACCAAAACAACGTAACTGCTAAGCATTTCTTAAATTCTTATTAATGGCTTTATTTTAACTTTATCAAGTTATGAGTTGCAGAAAATCAATAGGTGATTACATGGAACACGTGGTTTGATTGAAGGAGACACTATCTATGTTACTATCACAGGCACTAGGACATAGCAGTGATTTCTTTACAAGCATTGATTGCATGAAAACTGCTGCGTTAGTGTGCCACTATTACCCCTTCTACCTTAAGCCAAACTTGACTATAGGTATGATCAAGCATTCAGACCCATCCTACCTAACTATACTCCTGCAAGACAACATCGGTGGCCTCCAAGTTCTCCATCAAAATACTTGGGTTGAGGTGGTCCCTACCTATTGAACGAGCCCTAATAGCAAACATTGGAGATCTTATGCAGGTGAAGTCTTTAATTACTCTGTACAAAAAAGTTTCAAAATTCCCGTATCAAAACCTAATTTTTCTTCCTTAATTTATGTAGCTAATCACCAACGACAAGTTCAAAAGTGTTGAGCACAGAGTTCTGGCTGGACAAGTCGGCCCACGGATATCAGCAGTGTGTTTGTTTTATCCAAATACTGCCAACAACTTCAAACCATACGGGCCAATAAAGGAGTGCATTTCCGAGCACAATCCACCTCTATACAGGGAAATTAGTCATGGAGAATATCAAGCTTACTCAATCCAAAGGACTAGATGGCACTTCAGCCCTCCCTCACTTTAGGCTACAATGAAATCATGCTACTAATAGAGAGATTCTCAGTTTGCTCTTAGAAATACTTTAAACTATGGTTAATTATACTCACACTCCGTCAGGTTTGGCCAAATATCACTCTCAAACATTTTTCGAAAATAATTATCACTCACATCACAAACATTTACTCCATTTTTCACTAACACCCCAACCGTTAGTTGAACATTTCTGACACGATGTAAAATAACTTAATCACCCTTTGAATTTGTCAAACCAACCCTTTAGCTTAAATAATTAAATTAAAAGACTAAAATACCTCTAAAAAGTTGTAAATTTACAAATTATATATATGCATACACAGAGATATATATACATGCATAGACATATATATATCTCGCAGAACTGTTTCCAAATGTCAATCAAAGAAGAATGTTTTAAGGTTCCAATGTTATTAAGATAGAACAGTAAGCCAGTGGCAGAAGCAGGTCCATCAAATTTGCCCTATTCTTAGAATCTTAAGTATTTATGGAATCACAGCAGACTCATTCAATTTGTCACAAAGAGCCATAGAGCATAGGCACTGCAAACACATTACACACAGAGACATATATATATATATATATATATATGGATTGGGATTGTGTGGCGGCGATGACGGCGATGGCGGATGTATGTGTGGGTGGTCACGACGGATGTCTATGTGTGTGTGTGTGTGTGTGTGTGTGTGTGTATATCTATACACACACACACACACACACACACACACACATAGACATCCGTCGTGACCACCCACACATACATCCGCCATCGCCGTCATCGCCGCCACACAATCCCAATCCCAACCCAACACCCATCGCCAAAGCCATATGTTTTTCTCGGCCTCCTCAAATTGGGTCTCTGCAATCCAGAAGATGATAAAGATGCAAAAATGTTCATTACCCGGGAAAATGCACCATGAAGGGAAAGTTCTAAAGGAGTCAAATTTTCCTGGAAAGATGATTGAAATTCAGAAGCCAAACATGGTATATCTTTTATTGGGTTTGCTGGGGACAGGCTTGAATGTGTATTTGATGAATGAAATCCCAAATGAGAAATAAAACAAATGACGAAGTGGAATATAAAATAGGTTTTGGTCACATTGGTTTATATAACAACAGACAACAACTACATGGTGTGTGTGTGTGTGTGTGTGTGTGTGTGAGAGAGAGAGAGAGAGAGAGAAAGGTTCATTGTTGTTACCAGTTCTTTCCCTAACTCAAAAACGGCGTCTTGGTAACTAGATTTCTTTCCTAGACTACTTCCGCAGAAAACACAGATTTTATTAAACCTTAATTTCGTATGTGAGGATGAATGGAGGCCACCAACATCTTCAATTGCTCATCTCTGATAGGCAAAAACACACATCTTCAATTGCTTATCTATTGCAATGTCTGGGTTGGTAGGTGGGTGTGGGGTATAACGATCATTTAGGTAATATGATATTTTGAAATAAAAGAGATTAAAAAATTAGGGGTAAAGTTGTATTTTCCTAGGTATTTAACAGATCATTTAACGGAAAGTTAAAAATGGACTTAAGTAATAGTTATTTTCGAAAAATGTTTGAGAGTGATATTTGGCCAAACCTGAGGGGGTGTGAGTGAAATTAACCCTTAAAACTATACCAGTGTGTAATATTGCAAATAAATTCAGTGTCACGACAACTCCCTTCAGTTCTAGTTCAATCTTCAAAAAGCTAGTTTCATTGCATTATCATTAAGATTCTGAGTGCAAATGTCAATATGTACATGTCCAAAAGATGAAGTACCAGAAAGTGGGGGTTACAACACAGAGACACAGATTAGGGTGAAGGAACTAAATTGTTTATAGTATCAAAGTCCTTAACAAGCAGTGGATGCAAGCAACAATCAAGATAAATATGAAAAAACGGGGGGAAAAAAAACATAAAAAAGAAAACAAGATTCCACTTCTACATACTTCGTAGTACAGAAACAGATGGCAACTCTTTACACCAGTTATCAGTCTGCGAAGAAAAACAAAAACCAGAAATTCCAATTAAAGACCACAAAAGACTCATGATGTAATCGGAAGAAGACTATTTTACTGTCTCTAGGAGTCGCACAGCCATACAGCCATCATAAATGGATTTGCAGTATTTGCAGTTTGTCTTTCTGCTTCTGGAACGTTATTCTATTCAAATTTATTTATGACTAATAGAAGCCCATCGCCATTAAATTTTAGTATTTGGGTTGTAATATCTGCAAGAGTGACCACAATATATCCATCTGATGCATGCTTGTGTTCCAATGGTTGATTATGAAGGAACAGAAAGGATTTGCAAAATCTAGCATCATGAAAGGATATGTGAAAATTTGGGTTGCATTATTAAGATGTTAGTCACTAAGGCTCATATACCAAGAAGTTTGTAGCTGGTCTGGATTACATTAGTGATGTCATGAGAATAATATTTGTTACACAATTAGAATTTTCAAGCATCTAGTCAAACGTCTCATTTAGTAGTATACTTAAACATTATTTTAATAACATGACATGCAAAGAAGTGTTCCAATGGTTGATTACATAGGTGTTTTATAGCGTGCCACAGGTATCAATCAGGTACAAAATGACCTCTGCGTTCGGATTATAATATCCATTAAAATAATACAAACCATTAACCAGATTAGATGCAAAACAATTTCATATATTACAATTTCTATTTTCTTGTCGCAATTTATCATCACAGCTTTTCTTATGGGGTACAACATTACCGCATACAACATTTATCTACATCATGCAGATCAAAGAGGATAATAATAAATCAAAGAGGATGATGAGCACAACAACATAAAAAAAACATAATACTATGTCAATTGTGTTCCTCATTATAGATACCACATCATATTTAGGACTAGAACATGTATGATTCCTATAAAGCTATATTCCTAATCCACAATTAGGATTACACCTGGACAATAAAACATATCCAGGTCATGTCGGTTACACCTTTCAAAATTATCAGACCCAAGAAAACATCAGTATGCATGAAGAAGAAAACTTGTAGTAGTATTGGAGAA